ATAATATTGATATTGTCATTTATCTATTATTGTTTACTGGTGATATTTATCGATAATACTGATGTTGTTATTTATCTATTTTTCTTCAATAGTGTTTTTTTATTTATCGATAATATTGGTGTTGTTGTTTATTTGTTTTTGTTTGGTTTTGATTTTTACTTATCGATATTGTTGGTGTTGTTATTTATTTATTTTTCTTTATTAGTGAGTATTACTTATTGATAATATTAGTGTTGTTATTTATCTGTTCTAATTACAGTAGTGGTTCTTTTAATCATAGATCAACATGCCACTTGACCTAGACAAAATTGATGATTTAAATAAAACTCTTTTTATTCATATACAACTACCTAATGTACCAAGACCGTCATTTATCTGGAATTATTTTGGACATTGATACAAAAATCCAAGGGAAGCATATGATCTCGATCGAATTTATTGCAAAGTGTGCTTTGAAAACATAAAAAATGAATATCCTGATGCAAGTTTTTCTTCAGTTCGAAGACAAATTGATACTTATAGTTCAACAAGTGGTACAGGAAATATGCGAAACCATTTGTTGGCAATGCATCAAATAACAGAAGCACAAGCAATAAAGAAAACAAATAAACATATTGCTTCAATGTTTGCACGTAATCGTGACACAACAAGTTCTTCACAACTGAAAGAAAAACTCGGACATCAATTGACTTTAATGTGCTGCAAAGATCTTCTTCCATTTTCAATTGTAGAAAATGAAGGTATGACATCTTGAAGAAGTTGTTATGCAACTATTAATTTTTTTTTTATGTTAAGGTTTCCAAGATTTCTTAATCTGTAACAAAATCGTCAATACAAAATATGATATTCCATCACGAACTACTTTATCACCGCTGAATCTTAATAAAATTTATAATACATGTGTTGATAAAACAAAAGAACAAATAAAATTATCAACAAACTATCCGACAATAACATGTGATGGATGGAGTGACAAGTATAAACATCATTCGTATATATGCATTACGATTCATTTTCTGGATTCAAAATTGCAGCTACACAAATATAGTTTAAGAACACAACCATTTAATGAAGCTCATACAGGTGAATCAATAAAAGATCTTGTATCAAACGTTTTAAATGAATTTGGTATAAATCCAAATAGTGTAATTGTAGTAAGCGAATTTATTCATCAAAATTTTAGAAATTAGTGCCGTTTTATTTGCTTAGGTATCAGATAAAGCTTCAAATATGCGCAAGGCGTGGAGATTGTTAAATGTCATTCATGTATTTTGTGTTGGTCATGGGATTCACAATTTGTTAATGAAGGATTGTTTTCATAATATGCATTACGTTTCAGAAATCTTAGATAAAGTTCAATCAATTATTAACAAGCTTCGTTATCGTCAACATGAACTTGAAAATGAATATTTTCGATCGAATGAAAAAAGTTTTAATGATCTACTTTTATCCATTGATAAAGCTGGTGAAATTATAGATGCAGATTTAGCTTCGACATATATTGATGCTGATGATACACAAGTATTGAATGAAAAATTTCAAAATGATAATTTAGAAGTATTACAGTTATCAGATGATTTAAAATTCAGGTCAAATGCTTGCGAAAACACATATAAGTCCAACTGTTCTTCATCGATCAATGACAATAATAATTGCAATAGATTTCACACTTTGAAACAACGTATTGTAACACGTTGGAACACAATTCTGGTTATGCTTCGCTCCTATGCTGATAACATACCTGGTATTGAAGTTATATTCGGTCGATTAAAACATTTCGATTTAATATTAACTACTGCTGAAAATGAAATTGTTCGTGATTTAATTCAATTTCTTTCTTTGTTTGAATCAACAACTACTATTCTATCAGCATCAAAATCTTATCCAACTATTAGTTTATGCTTACTGTTAAGAATAGTACGTATTTAAAATTAAAACTATAAATAGCTTTTCTTAAACACTAAGTATTGATAATCAGACTAGATCAGAAATGGATACTTACAAACACTGAATGTCTTTTATGATTTCGAGATACTTTTCATGAATATATACTTGATACAATATTTAGTTTAAAAAATATTTAATATGATGATTTATCCTAGGAAATTGAATCTTTGCTGCACATTGATGGGTTGGAATCATCAGTTATCCAAAATTTAAAATGTTTAATATCAGCAAACTTGGATAATCGATTTCCAGTAACTTCTCTGTATATTTGTGCATTTTTACTTGATCCATCTCAATTAAAAATCGATATTAATCGTTATTTAACTCAATGTCATACTACAAAAGAATTAATATTATCTGAAATGATTAAACAGTTCAAAATCAATGATTTTACACAAGCATCTGCAACAAACAATGTATGAACATCATCACCATCACAATCTTGTTCATCAATAACAACAACAGCATCATCTACTTCGATGAAACGCAATTTGTCAGTCGAAAGTTTAAATTCACCGGTAAAAAACTTGAAAAAACTTAAAGAAAATTTAATTCAGAAACACAAACCACCATCAACATCTGGTTTTGATCCTATTCTGGACGAAATACAAAATTATTTACAATTAGATATTAGTTGTGATGATGTACTTCAATTTTGGCAATCATCAGGAAGTGCATTTCCTCATCTAAAACGACTTGCTCAAATTGTTCTTGCTGTTCCTGCAACATCAACTCCAAGTGAACAAGTCTTCTCAACAACTGGTCTGATTCTCAACGCCAAAAGAACAATGCTCTTACCGGAAAATGTTGGGAAGATACAAATGATTCATGATAATTATAATCTATTAAAAAAAACTTAATATTTAATTTTTTTTTGTTTTTTTTTTATATTGTACTTTTTCTAGTCTTATGCTTTAAAGAGTGTAAATTTTGTACAGTTGCCCATGGTGTTACTTATTATATATTTTTCATTGTGTCATAATGTAAATTACAGCTATGTTATGTATCTTATGTTAAAATGGTAATAAACATTGTTTGAAACAAATAGAAATATCTTACTCTCAAAAGAATACTTCAATTTTAAACTTAGCCGCCGCCGCCGCATGAGAACTTATAAATATCAGCCGGCGCCGCCGCCGTGTAGAAAAATTTGACAGGATTATAGCCGCCGCCGCCGTAGAGCTTACTAATTGAAACCAGTAGCCGCCGCCGCTGGTCGAAAATTGAGAGCAGTTGCTCGCCGCCGCCGTTCAACCCCTCGGCTTCTCAGCTTCTATCATAGTAACCAGATGTTAGGAAAAACATCACTACATCTTTCCACAGCAACAAACAATAGGGAGTAATTAATACCAGCGGCTATATTATTTGAAAATTCTATAATTTCTGGTTTCTGTTCTAAATATTATGTTTTTAAGCTTTGTATAGCTCACATATATTTACGAAGAAACTAATAGCAACCATAAGTTTGGGTCAAGGTTTTTCAGCTTGTTCCCTTTTCCCCATTAGATGTCGTAGCAATCACTTAGATCTAAAAGGTTGTGGAAACTTCTAGAATATTTTGATTATCAATAGTTCGAATATTATTATGAGTATTAGCAAAAAGCTAGTCTCCTCTTTTTGCGCACATAAAAGTTTATACGATCCATGAGAAAGATATTCTTTTGTGATTTTTCATAACTGCAGTATAAGTTACATAAAAGCGTGATCAAACTACTTTCTAACTTTTAGAAATATTTATTTTGTGTCTTGCTCTGTACATCAATATGCATACAAGTTTGTCAGAATCTGGCAAAGACACAACCAATGTCTATACTAAGCTTATTTAACTATTAAATTAAAGATTAAATCGAATAATACGAAATAATTATAATCTCAATTAACAGAAGAAGAACACAGCGAAGAGCGACAAGAAAAAAAGCACGTATTAAGAAAAAAATGTTTGAAATGTACGAATAGAAACTGATATAAATTAATCACTATGATCAGGGTTTCTTTAGAAATTTAACATTCTGCGTTGGTATTATTAATATTATAAATATATTCAAGAAATCTAATAAGTGGAGCGAAGGGAGAGGTAGTAATTCGATATGAAATAGTTTCGTTGGGATAAAGTTTCACAGCGTATGCTTTAACTCAAACAATAGAATTAGTTGTAACCTATCCGTTTATTTGATATCTTTTGCAAATAAACTTTTCCATCCATTTTTGAGAATATAATATAAATTTGTAGTAGTCTGAATCTCATGAGTACTACACTTTGGCTCCACAGCGGCTACGCTGATAAGTTTTTGTAACTAAAAGAGCCCTCTGAGAGAACCGAAGCTATTTTGAAAATTGGAGGAAGGATTTTCACGATTTTCGAAGCTTATATATAGAGTTGAACTCATGGATTTGAAAGTTTTTAGCTGAAAATCCCAGAAATAGACACGTTTCGGGGTAAAAAAACTGATGAAAATTTTCAGTTCTCAAAAAAAAATCTTAAAAA